ACAGCTGAAAAATGTAGGGGCAGATAAGGAGGCAAAAAAAATGGATATATTTGGCTGCAAAGTATACTCATTGGCCACGTTGCTCCTTCGCATAGTGAATTATGCAGCCCTATTGGCGAACCATAGTTTCGATAATATCGCGAAGCTTACAGAGCTGGCCCAAAGCTCATCGGACGCCGATAAAGAGCTGTTACAGACGATCCTCAAGGAAGGCTATGCTTGTTCAAAAGCTAATCTCCAGATAGCTATGGATATGGCGGACACAGCGGCTCGAGGAGTAGCAACAGCAGTGTCTATGAGACGCTCGTCCTGGCTTGACACAGCGGCAGTACCCAAGGAGCTACACTCCAAGGTTGAGGACCTTCCTTTTGACAGGGTAAAATTATTTGCAGAGAAGACAGATGAGGTCCTTCATACTGGCAAAGATTCAAGAACAACACTCTGTACGCTGGGAATGTATGTACCACCATTCCGCCATCATCGGAGACCGGTGGCCTCTGCGGTTCTATCCACGGTAGAAAATAACTGACCCGGAGCGCATTCTGGGTTACTGCTTTGTAGTCACCTTGACTGGAGCACCCACGGGGACCACTCGAAGAAGAAGAAGAGGTTACTCACCATGTGTAGTGACGATGGTTCTTCGAGATGTGTCCCCGTGGGTGCTCCACGTCCCACCCTCCTTTCCACTCCGGGTCTTTCTGCTTTATCTTTCAGAGACCGAGCGGTGAGAGGAACTGATGAGGGAGGGCCGGACCGCGAGACGTTGCAAAGGCGCGAACGCCGCGCGCTGCTCTCAGGCATGTGCAGTCCGGCCCGGCTACGGCTCTGGAAATCTCCGACTAGCGGCACCGGGTCGGGACCCAACACCTTGAGTGGAGCACCCACAGGGACACATCTCGAAGAACCATCGTTACTACACAAGGTGAGTAACCTCTTCTTCTTTGGTGGCAAAGATCCTCCCTTAGTATCTGAGAACTGTTAGCATGTTCATTGGAGTTCATCTCTCACCCTTCTTTAGTGATTAGGTGTGAATTGATCTCAAGTCAATGGAAGCCGTGAGGTGATCAGGACTTTTGAAAATTAGCTATTTATTCAGATGCCTAAATATGCATATAGAAGCCCAATATTAGGAATCAATTTCTGAAAACCTTGAGTGTGTTGTTTGTTTCTGTGTTTTGAGATAACTGTTTTCAAAATTCAAAAAAACTCTTCCTAATTTCAATTTACTAATTATTTGTCATGTTTATATTCCTTTTTCTTGGCCTAAATTGGGCCAGATCTGCATTTTTAATAATACCTGTTGTGGCTAGAAAAAACTCTTGAATTTGTCATACTGTTTTCTGCCCTTGTCTTTCTGCTTCATTTATTTTCCTAAGATATACTCTGATATTTATGTCACATTCATGCTGAATCTAAGGATTTTAATTATCTAATTTTTACATTCATCATAGAAGATTAGAGTTGCAAGAGACCTCAGGAGCTCCTTGTGAACAGGAGCAGCTAACAGGGAGTTTGGAGAGGGAGTTCTCCAGGTAAAAGAGGAGTAAATATGGGATCCTTGTGGTAAGTGGCTGTCTGTAGTGTGTTTGTGTGTGTGTGTGTGGGGGGGGTTATTTGCTGTTTTTTGAGCTTGTGTTTGGCTGTTTGGTTTGTTTGTTTGAAGGAGCTTCTAAAAGGTTTGAAATCTAGAAGCCTCTGTTAATTGGCTGAGCCTCAGTCAGGGGGAGGAGCTACCAGGGCTTTATAAGCCTGTGAGTCAGCGACCAGGGAGCTTGCGAAACAGGAACAGCTAACAGGGAGTTTGGAGAGGGAGTTTAGAGGGGGAGGTTAGAGGGCACTAGTGACTTCTGACCTTTAAACATAATTTTTATAATAATCTATATTACAGACATTTAATAAGAAGCCCAGTTTATATTTAAACTTGTTCATAAGTAAAATGGAGACAGAAGCCCAGCAGCAGAGTGGGGGCTATCCTGTTTATTGCGTCGAGTGTAACATGTATGATTACCTGCCCTGTGGGCGGGTGGCGTATGTGTGCACCCGTTGCAAGGAGCTCCTGACCCTCAGAGAACGAGTTCGGGCTTTGGAGGCCAGGGTGGCTGAACTGGAGGAGCTAAGGGAGGTAGAGAGATATGTTGATGAGATTTTCCGGGACACTGTAGTACTGTCCCACCTCCAGTATGAGAGACCCAGTGCTCTTAAAGAGGATGAAAGTCTCAAGGGAACAGAGCATTCAATGGGAACAGAGGGAATCCGTCCCGTAGTTGGGACCTTCCTTCCAGAGGATGTTGCGGTATCCTCTCGTACTGAGGATACCTCTGAGGTGGAGGGAACGCCAGTTGTTAGGAAGAGGCAGGTGTTAGTAGTGAGTGATTCGATCATTAGAAACATAGATAGTTGGGTTTGTGATGACCGGGAGAACCGTATGGTCATTTGCCTGCCTGGTGCGAAGGTTGCGGATCTCTCGAGGCATCTAGATAGACTTATGTGTAGTGCTGGGGAGGAGCTAGTGATCGTGGTACATGTAGGTACCAATAACATAGGGAAGGGTAGGAGAGATGTCCTGGAGGCCAAATTTAGGTTACTAGGAAAGAGACTGAAATCCAGGACCTCTATGGTGGCATTCTCGGAAATGCTTCCAGTTCCACGTGCAGGGCCTGGTGTGCAGGCAGAGCTTCAGAGTCTTAATGTGTGGATGAGACGATGGTGTAGGGAGGAGGGGTTTAGATTTATTAGGAAGTGGGGCAGTTTTGGGAGAGGGGGAGCCTATACAGGAAGGATGGGCTCCACCTAAACCAGGGTGGAACCAGACTGCTGGCACTAAACATTAAAAAGGCCATAGAGCAGTTTTTAAACTAAGAGATGGGGGAAAGCTGATTGGTGCGGAGATGCATGTTAATCGGATGGAGATTTCTCTTAGAGGAGAATCCATTGATAGAGATTCTCTAAGCTGTAGTCAGAAAGAGAGGAGGGGAGAGGATAAACCATGGGCCAGAGCAGACAAACAACCGCATATAAAGGAATCCAATGCATCAGGGAAGGGCAGACAAATAAGCAGTGGCAAATTTGTAAAGTGCTTCTACACAAATGCTAGGAGTCTGACTAATAAGATGGGTGAACTAGAGTACTTCGTATTAAAGGAGGAGATTGACATAATAGGCATCACTAAAACCTGGTGGAATGAGAAAAATCTGTGTGACACAATCAAACCGGGATATAAAATATATCGAAAGGATAGAGCAGGCCGGGTGGGTGGCGGAGTGGCACTGTATGTGAAGGATAATGTAGAATCAAATGAAATAAAAATATTAAATGAATCAACATGTTCAATAGAATCGCTATGGATAATAAGTAATTCCATGCTCCAATAACAAGAAATTAGCAGTAAGGATATATTACCGACCACCTGACCAGGACAACGATACTGACATTGAAATGCTGAGGGAGATTATAAAACCATGGTACACCCACATCTTGAATACTATGTACAGATGTGGTCTCTTCACCTCAAAAAAGATATTTTGGCCTTGGAAAGGGTTCAGAAAAGGGCAACTAAAATGATCAGGGGTTTGGAACGGGTCCCATATGAAGGGAGGTTAAAGTGACTGGGGCTTTTCAGTTTAGAAAAGAGGAGACTGAGGGAGGATATGATAGAGGTATATAAAATCATGGGTGGTGTGGAGAGGGCAGATAAAGAAAAGTTATTTATTAGTTCCCATAATAGAAGAACTAGAGGACACCAAATGAAATTAATGGATAGCAGGTTTAGAACTAATAAGCGAAAGTTCTTCACACAGCGTGTAGTCAACCTGTGGAACTCCTTGCCAGAGGAGGCTGTGAAGGCTAGCACTATAACAGAGTTTAAAGAGAAGCTAGATAATTTCATGGAGGTTAGGTCCATAAAAGGCTATTAGCCAGGGGATAGAAGTGGTGTCCCTGGCCTCTGTTTGTCAGAGGCTGGAGAAGAATGGCAGGGGACAAATCGCTGATCATTGTCTTTGGTCCACTCTTTCTGGGGCACCTGGTGCTGGCCACTGTCGGCAGACAGGCTACTGGGCTAGATGGACCTTTGGTCTGACCCAGTACGGCCGTTCTTATGTTCTTATGTTGTACTTACACCCCTTTTATGACCTTGTGTTTTCTTTTCAAAGATTAATGTCAGTACTAAACTGTGGTATGATCTCTTTTCTTGAGCATATTAAACTTAATTTTATTGTGATTGAGGCAGCAGGGAGGAGGTGTGTGTAACTGTGTGGATTAACTGATGAACCAAGGCTTATCAGTAAACTGTACATGTTCACATTTTTACCCCAAACCAGCCTTAAATGTGCATTGTGTGTTCCTTTTGTGTGACTAAATCTCCTGATAGGAAAACAAGTTAGAGAGTCTGTGAAGTCACCCTCACATTGCTCCTGACTCCGTAGTTGTCTGTCAAAAAGTATTTCCAGATAGATTTTAATATGGCTCAGAATTCCTAATTAGAAATAGCAAGGCAGCATTGTTTATTATTGTGTCAACTAGGTGGCAGTATAGTGCATAAAACAAACAATAAATGCTTTAACAAAATACAGGACTATGTAGCACTTTAAAGACTAACAAGATGGTTTATTAACGATGAGCTTTCGTGGGCCAGACCCACTTCCTCAGATCAAAAACCTTTGATATAAATGCTTTAATATCATCCTGTGGTTCAAAACCAAATACAGTAGACTTCTGATAATCCGGAACCTATGGGACCTAGGTGTTGCTGGATTATCAAATACGCCGGACTATCAGGAGGTGTACTATAAGATGGTTATATATATATATACTGTATACATTATATACTGTATATAAAGTGTTCTTAACACTTTTTATTGTACATACTGTATACAGTATACTGTAATGTTTTAGTTTTTTTAAGCCTTTTTTACCCTTTTTGCTCAGTTCAGCTGCTGCCGCTGTTACCTTGTGACTCATTTTTTGCCGAAGCTCACTCACTAGGCTCTTGCCATTTTGATGCCGGACTATCAGGAGTGCTGAACTATTGGATGCCGGACTATTGGAGTTTTACTGTAGATGTAATTTGATCAGATTTCTGTAAAAAGATCTCAGTAGATATTTCTAGTTCTACCTATTTGAGTAGAAGTTAGGTACTTTAGTTGTCTTGTATTGACTGCTCTACTTAGTTCAATAGCTCAAACGACTGAAGTAAATAAATCATATTGGGGTTGATAGGTGGGGAGAAAAATTAATTTATTGCACCTCAGTATGTTATGTGTCCATATACAATTTTAAAATTGTGATAAAAGTCTTATATTTCTATGTTTTGTTCTGCAGTGGATTAAAATAATTTAATTACATTTTTACAATCCTATTTATGTAGGATTGTTTGTGACCTTTGGTCCCTGGTACACAAGGCTTGACAATTACGGCAATCTACTCGCCCAGGGCGAGTAGATTTTAGAGTGGCACGGCACCACAGCGTGATCAGCGCATGGGCAACATGGTCTGCGCATGTGCAGCGTGCCAGACCGCACGGTTGGTGAGCGGGGCTCGCGCCGCTTGACAAGCCCTGCTGATACACATACAATATCCAGCTCCTTAATCTCTAACCAATCATCAGATACAAAATGTGGTCATCGATATGAACTGACATCACACTATTAATAGAAAGCAGGTAGGTATTCAGTCATGTCATCCAACTAACTCTGTTACCCAAGTAATCTTTTTTTGGTAACTTCTGCATTAAACTATTGTATATATAGAAAGTTTTGATCAATGTTTTCTGGAATTATACTGCAAATAGTTTTCTCTGATTTACATAAGCATTTCTAAATATTTCAATACTAGTTAAATTGGACTAGTTGCTGGAAAGTGTTTTCATCAATGATTCAATATCCTTGTATAACACAATGACTATGCCCATGAAATGCATCCTTTATCAGTGGAGTATAATTGAATATGAATATGAGAGAATAGTAATTTGACTTTTGAGACACTGTCACTGGAAGTGTTCAAGATGAAACAAGATAAAATTCTCTGGTCAGCTAAAACCATGTTACACAGCATAAGCAGCACAAATTGACCTTAATTTGTAAGAGAGGGCCATTGGTGAATCCATTGGTGCTGGTGAATTTCTGCCAGACAGAAAGCAGGAAAAAGCAGCTCTGCCACTTCCTGCACTACCTCCATTGGTAGTGTAGCCCTACCCTCCTCTTTCATGATTTCAGCTTCAGAGTTCATACATGGTTACATAATTATCTGTGAGAGAGGAAGTCATGTGCAAGACAGCTGCTATGCGCATGGCAGAAATCTCGAACTGAAGATGATACCCTGCAACAAAGATTTCATATGTGTCTCTGTAGAAGGTAAGAAATTGTGTCTTGCCTCCATCATAGCATCTGCAAAATCTGAATCAGTAGATTTATTCAATATATTTAATATCCTATTAAATTTGTTTTATACTAGAAGCAGACATGAGTAACTCCTCTTATGTATTGTTGTTTTACAAAGAAAATCAGATTCAGACTGAGGTATTCATGTCTTTGGTAACTGACTGAGCACAATCTTGAGGGGATGTTGTAGGTCATCTGTGCCCAAGTCTTGGTTCTCACTTAAATTCTTAAATTCAGCCATTCTCATCCTTGGTATAGGGAAAAGGAAGGGACTTAGTGAAAGATGGAGGTAGGGTGTGTTAGAGCAGAGCTCTATTATGCCTGATCCTGTACTGGCACAGAAAAATGTAAGGAAAAAGAAATCTAGCATATGTTAATTTCTCTTCTTAAAGTTGCTTTACCCTAGTCTGGATTAGGGATGTGAAAGTGTAAACGTGTACAAAGTTAACTGATGAGCTTCGGCTCATTAGTTAACCTTCATAGTTAAATACAGCCTCCCCTCACTGCTGCCCCTGATACAGAGGCAGCAGCATGGGCGGGGGCAGATGGGAGCCGGTGTTTGCAGGAAGCCGGCATTTAAAATTTCAGTTACAGTTCAGTTTCAATTACATGTTTACATGTGAGGAGTGTGTGGGGGAGGAGGTGGAACATTTAAGTTGGCTCCCCACACGTTCAGCTTCCCTTGGAGCCACTTCCCTCCATCCCCACACTGCTTCCTCATAGAGGCAGCAGTTGTAGGGGGCAAGTGGTTCTGTGGGAGCTGGTTTAAAAACTGGCTACCCACTGTAGCTAGATGGACACATGTCCCCCCCACATTGAAGCAATGGCTGGCTGGACACAAAACGCCTTGTTTTGTGTGTCTGGCTCTCTCAGCTGGGACTTGACTTGTATCAGCAACTGTGGTATGTGAGTTTCCTTTTGAAGAGAGGTGCTTTATTCTTTGAAGCCATTCAGTTGACATAGCCTAGATAACCTTTGTTATTTGCAAAGCTAAGCAAATGTATGTGGTTTAATGATAAAGATCAAAATGCTTGTTCCATGGCTATATTGTGTAAACACTTTATAAATATGTATGTAACCTACGGAATGTGAGTGAAAAACGTCCGATCACAAGGCAGTCCAGCTCTCTGTGACCTTTTAAGGCAAAGAAGGACTCTGCAGGTATATAAGTTAATGTTACGAGTGGCCAGGTATGGCTCTTGCTTTCTGTCTCTCTCTCTCTCCAGACAAATTGTAACATCACAGCAGAAATCTGGGACCGTCCCAGAGAAGGAAGCCTTCCCGTAGATCCGAAGGGATTTCTAGGAATGCTGTGGCCTTGTGGTCGATCTCTGGGAAGCTGTTGCCTGGCTAGCTCCAGCTGCCTGTGAAATCGGAAGAAATCTACGCCGCATCTGTAGCCTGCCTCCATACTGGTAGTATGAGTGTAATGCATGTTAAGAATTTAAGAATTTACATCAATAAACACCCTTCAGCAATGTTCCGGGTAACCCTTTGTCTGAATTCATTCATGCTGGTCCAGGGAAGGGGAGGAGCATGGAGGTGGATAAGCTGTATCTTAATTTCGAGCAGTCAGATACTAACGCAGTCAGAAGACCTCAGTGTAGAGCTCTGTGTCTCGGGGAGGCTTTAAAAACTTGTTTTCAGTAATGACCCACAGTAATGTGCGCTGCTTCTCTGTATGGTGCCTTTCCATAGTGTGAACTTTTCTGAAAAT